ATCTGTGGAAAACCAATTCGGTTCTCTAAAAGCTGACATAATAATCTATGGATTTGTTTTCACGCATATATAGTCCGAAGTATCTACTAAACTGGATCTAAGGGACATCTTGGATATCCATGGTTCAGGCGATATGGACGTTTTTCCAGAAGCCTTAGCATTCTCTGTCGTTAGGCTTTTACACTTACTCACTAGGAAAATATATGACCGGCTAACCGGCCGGCCCGACCCGATCAGAAATTTTTGGACCGGCACTGGGCCGGCCGAGAAAATCTTGACCGGTTACATTTATAGTTCAACACGTGATCGGTGTCGAATTTGGTCTTTGTTAGTAAAAGATCCATATTATCATCCAATAAGCTGAAATAATACACCCCATTCAATTTCGATGTCCAGTAGCTTCTAATAACGCTGAAAAAATTGATCTTCAGCCATTTTCACTTTGCAAGTCTCTGATTATCAGCATTCTTACTCAAATTGTCCTTCCTCGTCATCTAGGAAATCCTCATCGATTTTCTAAGAAAGTAGAAAAGAATCCAACCTTTTGATTTTCGAAAAGTTCATATGTAAAATCGCTGAGGACTTTTTATAAATAATTTCTAACAATATAGTAAATCGATGTCGATTTTCTACAATCTGGAAAATTTGTGAGGATTTCATATATGGATTTTTTGAAAATCGCCAAGCATTTTCTATAAATAATTCTCGACTTTACAGTGTAATTTTCAGGCTGAAAATAAAATTTATATGAAAATGATGAAATGAAGGCGTCATTCGACTCATTTTTTTATGCTTCTATGAGCTTAATGCTTATTTTAGCTGAAAAATACTTTCACATTGTCACATTGTTTCAATTTTTCCTTGAATGTCAACAACAATACGTACGAAACTCACCTTGAAATTCCTGAGAATTTTATATCCTACTACGAATTATTGATATTTGACTATAAATTTAGAATTACTTCGATTATGGTCTCAAAAAAAACCATGTTCACACATTTTCGGTTGCTTGAAATACTTTCTTGTAACTGCTGGTAGATGTAAATCTTAACAATGTGGCGACTAGAATATAACTCTTCATCCCTATTCACGTTTTCTTCGATCGCTTTTCTAGTGATTAATGAATAAAAAAGATTCCTATCGACTAAAACACTGATTAAATTGTTTAGATTTTTTTGACTTTTTTTTGTTATTGTTCAGTGTCATAACTCTATTCGTCATATTTTTAGCAATGCTGCATTTTATTTATTTATTATGTTATGATTTAAAATCTAATTAGTTCAATTCGTCTAAGAAAACTTTAAATTTTCCAATATTTTCTTGTTGTTTAGTGCTACAAATGATGGCTTCTTTAATATCGCAATGTTCAACAAATTTTAAAAATCTCTATGAAGAAAAGTCAATAACGAAATAAATTACTGAAATTTTACTCTCCAACTATCCATCCCATTCACTGTTCTGATCTTTGTGTAATTTTTAAATTTCTGTAACTTTTAAACATTGACTATCAAATGACTCTTTTTTTCTCTTGAATTTACTTTATTCTTGTTATATGATTCAAATGTATTCAATTGATCATTGATCGCTTTGGACAAAACCGAAAATTATTTTCACTTGTAAACATCTTTGATTCATCCTACAATTTATTCATACGCCTCATCATGTATACTTCATCTATATCCGATCTTGTACATACCAGAGCTCATGTTACCTTCGCTTATACTGGAAAATTCAGATCTTATTTCATTTTATTTAATAATTGAGAATCAGAGTCGAGATCTCATATAAAGTGGCGGACAAAAGTTTAGAGCCCCTTTTGTTTTTGAATTTTCTCGTGAACTAAAGTAGCTAGACTAAATCCGAGAACAGGCTTATGTAGAGAATACCTTGGAGTATCTAAGCATGTGAGAAGAAACATTTTAATTTAACTTTAGCAGGTTTACAAAAGATGAAATGTTAAAAATTTAAAAGCCTTAAAGTTTCAATCTGTTTAGGAATCGCAGTTGTAAGTACATGAGCAGGATTTGCGAAAGTCATTAGAATTTGCCCACTGGCTGCCAGTTCTGTAAGATACATCTGAGAGAAGATCTGGCTGTCAGGATCGGTTCAAGAGGCCATAGTATTATAGTGGAAAAAAGTAGGGTAGTTTTGGGGGCAGTTTACTATTTCGGAAGTTTTAAGAAAGGATAACGATATATTCTAACCGAAGCATATCATTAAATACTAGAGAAAACATTTTGCATCTTTAAAACGAGTGGGGAACGAGTGAACATTTAATACATGAACAGATAATACATAAAAACAAATAGAAAAGAAAGCTCTAAAATTTTTGTGATTCGTCTCGACGTTCCTGTATTTTTATATTTCGAGGTTAGTTCCTAAAACGTAGGGTAGTGGTGTGGTGTGTGTAAGAGTGAGTCGCTAGGCCACTTTTCGGTTACCGAGAGATTGTGGATGAGGACTATCGTGCGACTTCTGATTATGTGATGTAATAGTTTACAAAATTGTTATTGCGTAAACGATGGGTGGACGTTGAATTTGCATGTTTCCAACATGGAAATATAACGAGGAAAACGTCGAAAAAAGCAATGTTGTGTAATTTTCTTTTTTCTTCAGATAGCAATATTATTGGATGGACCTCGACTGTCGATATTGTTGTTGCATAATTATTAGCTTTGGTGCTTTGTCATGTTGTAGATTTTCTAAACAATCTGTTGATTTTGCTAATCCATTCGTTGACGTTTCATAAAGTGTGATGATCGATTAATATCTCTGTAATGTTTCTTTATTGTTTCCTATTTGTTCTTCTTCAATTATTTACTCAGTTAATTTATGGACCCCAGGCTCATTCTTTCGGAATATTAGACATAGTCAAACAAAAACCCAAACAAATATCTAAGTGAGTCTACCAGAAATCTTCCAACATATACAAAAGTTTCTTGGATAAATGCAAGAATTCCAGCATTTGAGTACTCGTTACGCTGAGTTGAATGGTAAAACGAAAAGTTTAAAAATCTCTTGGTATCATGGTTTGTGAGTCACATTGCTTGTGAGCAGTTACAAATTATAACTGCTCACAAGTTGAAAATACGTGGTGCTTTTATGACAAATTCATCACTGTCATCAAGTAGCAGCAACAAAACCACCTCCCCTCCGACTGATACATATTAGATTTCAACAACATCATAATACAAACAAATCAATGCAGCATCTCTTCTTCGCTTGTCTCCTTGTTTCCCACTCGTTTTAATAAGAGAAATACATAAACACATTCACTATTGTGAGAAAGACACGATCGATTCTTGTGCGCTTCTTTCCTTGATCTCCACTCGTTTTCATAAGACAAATACATAAATGGATCTACTTGTGTCCCCTTCTTCCTTAGATCTTCGCTAGATTTCGTAACAGAAATGGATGGATACGTCGACTGTTGTGTTACCCTGCGTCGGTGGACTTTCCAGACAGATTACGGACTGGACAAAATAGGAAATGTATTGAAAAGGAATACAAAATGTATTTGTATCCTGCATGACATCCAAATCGATGCGTTAAACGCCTTAGAATGCTGAGACCTGGAAGATAATGGTCAGAATTGCTTTTATTCGCCATATGACTTTGATCAATATTTTATGCGCACTGTAAAGGTAAGGCAACAACAACTTGTGCACATGTCTTGATTTCTCTTCAATTTTCTTTGTTTCTTTCAACGTTCCTCGGTTATCGACCGCAGAGATAAGGAAAGAAAAATGTTGTTTTATATTTTACAATGCGCTTTTTTGCTTTACTTTGCGACTTTGACTATGCGCCTTCTGTGCAACAATGAAGCAAACGATGATGTAGACAGCAGGTATGAATAGCAGCTCTTCATAAACAAGTGTCTTACTTACTTTTAGTTAGAATCTGACGTGCGAGCAGAAAATGGCGGCAGATGTGTCAAACACGCTCTGGCGACTAGAGCTATTTTAAACAGAGTCTCTACTCAACATATGCTCGCCACAGCCTGTTGACTGTAGTGGTCACAGAGAGTGAATCTCTTCTACAAGTAATCGAAGCCGTGGAGCACTTGACCATGAGTAAAAATACTCATATATTCGACAATGAATGGTTGCAGTTTTTCTTACGTAGACTGAGCAGAACACTGATGAGGGCTGAACGAGATACTTAAAAGACATATTAAAAATCGTATAACGCTCTCGCTTGTCAGAGAATACGTTTATATGCAGTGAACATATGGCATTTGAAGCTTTTCTCTCAGAGGAAGAATACTTGTGAAATGAAGTCCTCCCAAACAAGTCTCCTATATTTGAATACTTTCATCGCCCGGCATCCGTCATTACTAGAATAGCCAGCGGAAATTGAGTAGAAATTATGTGATTCTACGCGTCTAAAACTACGATCGCTGAGGAATAAATGCATAAAGATGTGCTTTTTCAACTAAAACTTCTGCGTGTACACCCATATTTGATTTAAGACGCGTTTAGCAACGTTAAAAGGCGTTTTTACACCACATCAGCCCGCGGTGATCGCCTTAAAAAACCTGACAATTTCTAAAACTCTTGAGGGTAGGTTGAGTGTGCTGTGGATATGAGGGTGTTGGTGTGAGTTTCAAAATTTTGGAGAATCTCAAGAACTGTAAGAATTAGCACTTTATGTTTCGTAATATAGTTTGGTAGCAAAAATGTGCTCTTTTTATCATGTCCGTCTGCTAAGCGAAAGTTCTTCAGTGCGTCTGCAGCGATTGCTGCAGAAAATCAGAGAGGTGATCGTTTGATCTTAACTGACTTTTTTGAATTGTGCCACCAACAGTGTATATATTAAAAAAGGTCATATAAAATCTAGACTTCAGTATTTGTTGTGTCGGTTATATCAACAGTCATCAGATGGGCCTCTATTACATTTGTTAAAACGATTTAGTAAGTTTGTCTTTTCTTTCATTTTCCGATTATTGTCAGAACGTTTGCCACGTTCTCATTCATCATTCAAAGAACAATCTTATAAGAATGACAACAGCAAACAGCCTTTTCGATCTCATAATCGTGGGATGTGGTCCAGCCGGTATTGGCGCCGCAATCGAGCTTCAGAAAATTCATCCCACTGCACGCTTCCTCATTCTCGAGGCTCGAGATCGGGTAGGTGGCCGCGCCTTTACCGATACACATACATTCGGTGCGAATGCTCCCGTTGATCTAGGTGCTCGTTGGCTTTGTCATCAACAACCAGATAATCCTCTGCGTGCTTATTATATTCCATCGGACAGAGATTGGCTAGAATCTGATATTTATGGTATATCGAAAATGGCCATCTTCGATGAAGATGGAACGTCTATCTCAGAACACTCAATCGAGCAAGGAAAGAACATTGTCGAGCAGTTCTTTTCAAACATCAAACAATATCCACCTGAAAAAGCAGATGTGTCAATGTTTGACGTAATCCATGACGAATATATGAAAATCGAGAGCGAACAAATGCGGCGCCTCGTCAGTATGTGGCTTGGTTTTACCGAAAACCACGAAGCTTCAAATTTGGCTGAACTCTCTGCCAAATGTTATACAAAAGGAGAAGGTGGTCTCGACGAATGTGATCTCGCTGTTGCCGATGGATTGGGCTCATTTATCAAGCAAATAGTCGACCGGCATAATCTTCCCATTAAGCTCAATGCTATCGTCACTCATATCGATACTTCGACTCAATCCGACGGACTTGTTCATGTCTCGACGCAAGATGATCGTCACTATTGTTGCAAATACGTTCTTGTTACTGTACCACTCGGCTGTTTGAAAGCAGGCTCGGTTGCTTTCACGCCACCACTACCCGACTGGAAGCAAGCAGCCATTAACAAGATGGGTTTTGGCTTGTTGAACAAAGTCTATCTTCAATTTTCATCCGTTTTCTGGGATCGAAAATTAGAGAGAATTAGTGTTGCCTCAAATCGATTCAAATTTTATTTCTGTATGCCCGAAGCTTGTATTCTGTCTTTGCACATTGCTGGTAGCGTGGCTCGTGAATTAGAACAGCAAAGTGATGAAGAAATTGTTGGGCAAGTGGTCATTTCTCTTCGTCGAATATATCCGCTAATGACCGATCCCACCAAGTGGCTGGTGACACGGTGGGGATGTGATCCGTTCTCTCGTGGATCATACGCCAGTTTTCACGTTGGAACCGATGTTGAAATTTTGAAGGAGTTAGCAAGAGAATCTCATGACGGTCTTGTACAATGGGCGGGTGAGCACACGAATTATGATGGATCGATTGGATATGTCGACAGTGGCTTTGAAAGTGGACAACGTGAAGCCAGACGCATTCAAAAGAAACTTGAACAGTCGACGTAAAGCATCTTGAACTTAAAAGCCTCTTTTTTGTTATTCGATGGAGCCTATGTCGAAGCTTTTTTGTTAATTAAAAATGAAAACTTGAGCTTTCCAAGTCGCTACTTTAATGCATAGGAATTAATACCAGATAGATAAATAGAAAGCCGTAATTTTTCAATGAAGATTAGCCATGAAGTTGATTCAAATATTTCAATATTCAAGATCATAAAAGTTTGTACACACGAAAGAACTACACAATCTAGATCTTATATGGCTCAGCAGCAAAATATGATTATGACGAAGAAAAATAACATCTGATACGTAGATTTTTTTACTTCTGATAAAAATTCCCAGTAAATCGGATATGAAAAGATAATTGTAAGTTTACAGATAAGCAACCGATTTTTCTGAAAACTATAGAACTGAACAATATAAAGGTCGCACAATTCACATACGAAGAGAACAACGTGTTTTTCTGTTCGAACATACGCCTAGTTTCGTTAAATTTCGCTCTAGGCTACGAGCACTTTTGGCAGGCGTTTTATCACTAGATGATATTTTTACCTCTTTCAGTTAATAATATGAAGTAAGCTAGGGTAATTATAACCAGGCACAAACTTTTTCTCAGTATTTTACGAATGGTTAAGCCATTTTTAGCAGGAGAAAAATGGTGACTACATAGGTAGGTACATATGGCTTTCAGCTATGTACTGACGTAAAAATTATCTGAAAATTCATTACCGTTAATCGGTGTTGTTCAATTTCCAGTAAGTTGCTCTTAACTGATTATGTGGGGTAATTATAACTATCACAGCAAAAACGGCTGGAACGTTGTAATCAACGTTGATTCAACGGTGAACTTTTACCTTTTCAATTAAAAATTAATCCATCTTGTAGAGAATTTCGAGCTTTGTCGACCTCATGAATCACCAGTCAATCATTTTAACCATTAATTACTGAATGGGAAATTAGTGGAATCAAAAGAAACATTATTCGGATTTGAATGTGAAGCATTTTTTTCGATATACAGGAACTGGGGTAATTATAACCACACTGCTATTTTTCATTGGATAATTATAACTACTTCGTGCAACTCACACGGAATAAAAAGAAAAATGTATCCACAGATTTCCAAAGACCGATTTTCATACCAGTCACATGATAGAATATATTCAGACAACCGTTATCGATTATTACACGTGGAAATCGGAAGAGAAAAAAATGTTTTGATCGTCTATTCGTGTAAAAAGTAATAATTGTCAATTTTCAAAAAGTTTTTCCTGTCAATATTATTTTGGTAATTAAGTTGGAAGCTTAATTAGCAATGACATCGAGAAACAGTTTAGCTATTCATGAACATTAGA